TTAAGGACTCTTCTACCTCTCTCATTTGACTTTAAAATCCTTCTTGAGCTCTTCTAAGAAGGCTTTTTGGGCTTCAGACCAGTTCATATTCCCTTGTTGATGTTGTCCTCTTCAGAATTTCTGTCTTGATCTTCACTCTTCTCATAATATGAATCTATGGTATGTTTCTTTTTACTCATGGTGTTTCTTTATTCCCTGGCCTTTAAAGAGATTGAGCTCTCCTGCTGGGGAACAGAGGGCACTGACCCAAGCTTCTTGTGTTGGGAGCCTAGGTCTTGGTCACTGGCTGGTTTGTGTGCTGGGGCCTCTTATGTTGGCAATTGGAGGCTGTAGGTTCTGGCAGCTTACCTCATGTTGGGCTGGAATCAGCAAGGCTGGAACTTTCAGGCAATTCTAGGTTGCCTGCTTTTCCTTTCCTTTAGCTTTCTTCAGCTCCTTTTAGATGGGTGCTGCAGGGTGTTTATCTGCCTGGGGCCCCTTGCAGTGCTGCCTCCCTCGTTTCTGCTAATGCACTGGGAGATTCCTTTGTGGTACAGTGCTGAGGCACCTGGTGGTTTTCTGAGCTGGTTTCCTGGTTCCACCCCACCCCCCACTGAGGCACTGGAGGTCCAGGTGTTGGTGTTTGCCTGCTCTACCACCTGGGCTTCAGGATCTCTTCCTGGTTCACAGTTGGAGGCTGTAGGGTTCATCATGAGTCCTTCAGAGTTATCTTGGATCATTGTATTCAGCTGTAATTTTTAATGGCTGATTGACTTGAAGCATAACTAATCATGATGATAAAAATATCTTAAATTGCCATTAATTCAGGATGAATAAAAAAGAAATAGAGCAGTTTAGAAAAGAGTAGTGGGAGACAACAAAGCCTGAAACAAATTATTCTTGTGATAAAAGTTACCAAAAGATTTTAAAATCTAGCTTGGAGGCAAGATCAAAAATAGTGAAGACCATATTTCAGCGTTGATAGTGTGATGGTGATGACAAAGGGATACCTGTGAGAAAGCTAAACAACTAAAATCTTCCTTGGCTTTTGTTTTCTCATTGAACAGTGATGAACTTTGAAGTAGGAATGAGAGCCCAGAAAGTGTGAACAGGAAGTGGATGCCAGAAGTAAAAGTCAGGATCCAGCTGTTCTGATAGGAGTGTATAATGTGCTTCATTGCTTAGCCACTATTGTGTGTCTCTGAAGAGAGGGTAGATTCTGCAAAGCCTGGGCTAGTGACTTTGAATTCTCGCACATTCCTACAATACATGAGTAAATGAGTGGTTAGAGAGAAAGGGTTTCTTCTGTTTCTTCTGTAAGGCTTTGTGCTATTTCATTATAGTCATTTCTAGAAAAAAGATTTTTTTCCTTCACCCTCTAAATTATATCCTTAATACCAAAAAAGTAGTTGCATAAAAATACCAATGATAGTAACTTTATGTGACAGTTCATTAAACATTCTCCTCTAGTGATCTCCATCTTCTCTGTTTCAGAAGTGGTAACATTTTTTTAGATTTTATTCATAATTGATGGAATAAAACAAGCATTTCCTTAACAAAGTACAGTAAAAAAGATGAACGTAAAAAAGATGAAAATCCAAATGTGGTATGCACAACTTGCTATTTTTTTCAGATGTACAATAAAATTATCATGTAAATTTCTTTTTTTGCTTCTCCATTTCAGCCTAGAGATAGCTACCATTAGACACATATGGTTTTATATATACAAATTATTCTACACGTACTTCCGTGTATTAGTTCTTTCTCTGGATGTAGATAATGTCTTTCTTCATATATCCTTTGTAGTTAATTTGGGTATTTATAATAGTCATAATAACTTATTCATTCAGAGTCGTTCCTAAAATATTGCTGGTACTGTGTACAGTGTTCACTTGGTTCTGCTCATTTTTACTCTTCATTATTTCTTGCAAATCCTTCTACGTTTTTCTAAAATATTTTAGCTCATTTCTTATAGTAGTAGTGTATAGTAGTATTCCATCACAATCATGTACTACAGCTTCTTCAGCCATTCCCTAATTGATGGGCATGCCTGCAGTTTCCGTTCTTTGCCACCACAAAGAGAGCTGGTATAAATATTTTAGAACATATAGGTTCTTTTCCCTTTTCCCTATTCATCTTTGGGAATAGACCAAGTAGTAGTATTGCTGGGTCGAAGAGGATAAGTAGTGTAATAACTCTTTGGGCATAATTCCATATTGCTCTCCAGAGTGGTTGGATCATTTTACAATTCCATTAACATTGAATTAGTGTCCCAATTTTTCCACATTCTCTCCAACATTTGTCACTTTCTTCTATCATTTTCGCCAATCTGGTTGGTGTAAAATGCTATCTTAAGGTTGTTTTTTCTGCATTTCTCCAATCAATAATGATTTAGAGGAATTATTTATGTGACTAAAAATTATTTTGTTTTCTTCATTGGAAAACTGCCTGTTCATTTCCTTTGAGCATTTATCATTTGGGGAATGACTCATATTCTTATAGATTAGACAAAGTTATATATTTTAGATGTGAGACCTTTAACTGATAAATTTTGTATAAAATTTTCCCTATGATTTTCTCCTTTCTTTCTAATCTTGGCTATATTTCTTTTATTAATACAAAATCTTTTAATTTCATGTAATTGAAATTCATCTGTTTTGCACCTAATTTTGCTGTCTCTTGCTTATTCATAAATTATTCACTTATCCATAAGTCTGATAAGTAATATGTTCAACTATTTTTTCCAGTTACTTAGCGCCTAGCATATTTTTATTTTCATTTTTTACTTATATTTTTGTAATTTTGTGTATTATATCTGGTTGGGTCTGCTTATTTTACACTGTGTCAGTGTATATCTTCCTTTGCTTCTCAGAATTCCTCATATTTGTCATTTTTAACTGTATAATGAGTCCAGTGTTATTCATGTGTTAATTTTTTCTAGCTATTGTTTGAGAATTCAGTTTGTTTCCAGTCCTTTGCTGCCCCAAAGAGTGCTCTTATGAATGTTTCTGTGTAAAAACTCAGTTGTGGCCTTGGTCTGGTGATAGAGAAAGGGAATGGCAACATGGTACAATGAGAATAACCCTGGATTTGAAGCCAGGAGGACCTAGGCTCAAAGTACTCATCTACCATTTACTCCCCTTTTGGCATTAAGCAAGCCATTTTCCCCCTTTGGGCCTTACTTCCCTAATGTGTAAAATGAGATAATTGGACTATCAAGTCTCTTCCAGCTCTAAATATATGAACTGGAAAGTAGTGGTCCTTTAACACCCTTTTCAGCACTAAAAAGTTTTCACATGCTGTTACAAGAGATTGTAGTCCCCCATGCTTGCCTTTGGTCTCATGGTTCCAGGAACATAGAACACAATCATGGTCATTTCAGAGCGCCACATCTTAAGAAGCACAGTGATTAGATGAAAAGAGGAAAGTAACTGCCTTAGTTGTGAAGAGGTCAGGCTAATTGGTCAAAGGGACTATGCTTATTTACCCTGGAAGAGAAGACTTAGGACTACAGTATATCTTAAGTTATTTTCATTTTCATTATTTTATTTCAGCAAGTAGGAAAGAAATTAGCTATATTACTGCTTGAGCTCAGCATGCAGGAGTAGGAGTCATGGGTGCACATTGTTAGAAGAACAACAACAACAACAAAACACCACACCACACACATTTAAAAGTGATGTCTTTGTAACAACTTACAACAATAAGCATTTATTAAATGCCTATAAAGTGCCAGGCACTTTGCTAAGTGCAGAGGATGCAAAAGATGGCCTTATATAATGGCCCTTGCTCTTAAGGAGCTTACAACCTAATAGGAGAGGAATTCTTTTGTAAACATTTTTATTCATTTAATTTTTAATTTAATGAACAAAAGAAGCATTTCCAAAATATAGTATGGTTAAAAAAAGATGATTGCGTATGAAATTGAAAATCTATCTATTATGTACAACTTGCTTTTCCTTTTAAATATGTAATAAAGTTATATAAATTTCTTTTTTTCCCTTCCATCCCCAACCCTAGAGATGGCTACAATTTCACACACACACACACACACACACACACACACACACCCCTGATGTAAGATCATTCTATACATACTTCTATTTATTAATTCTTTCTGGGACAGGAATTAAGTGCCTGCTATATAACAGGCATTGTACTGGGAACAAATGAATAAATGAAACAATGCCTTGTGGCAAATGAAGATGAAATGACTGAGGAAACAAATGTTCTGTCTTTTGAGCATATCAGTTTATTAAGCAGTGCATGGTAATTGCACAACAAACTGGGACCAGGCCCCTTCCTTAACTTAGGTCTGGACCTGAATATGTGGGGAGATGTAATTTTTATACATTAGAAACAATTAAACAGGACCAATTAATTACAAGGAAATAATACAATAGTAGGTAATCTGATTTCTAATTGGAGGAAAGATCAGGGACTTTCCATGTTGGTAAGGGGAAGGGCAACAGGTTCAGTTCCCTGAATTCAGAAATGAGTGTCCCACTCCCCCAGGTGTCTGTATACAATCAAAAGAACATGGAACAAGAAGTAATTGTTAGGTGGGGTCAGTTTTCAGGTAAGACATACGAGTTGCTTTGATGTTCAATGTGAGTAAACTCCTTACATTAGTCTTCTTGTATCTGACTGGATTTCTGGTCAGCATGGGTTTCTGGTCCTTTGTTAAGAGTCTCTAAACAGCAGGTTGAGGAGGTCTTGTTTCCCAGCCACAGAGGGCTAGTTTCAAACAATGAGGTTTTCTCTCAATTCCCACAATTGAATAAATTTTTGTCAAAAGACAGAAGTTAGACTATAGTTATAATGAACAGAAAAAGGACTGAGCTATCCTTTGAATTGAGTCACAAAATGGAGTTAGTATGGTTGACTCAGTTGCCTCAATGTACCACTTGCTGTCCTAATGCCTTCAGTTCCCTCACACTGCTGGCAAGCAGTTTACATTTATTTGAACTTCTAAGAGTTAGAGCTATAGCTGGGTAAGCACAAATGTTTTGTTATTTCAGGAATCAGTGACATTCAATGATGTGGCTGTGGAATTCACCCAGGAAGAGTGGGTACAATTGAATCCATCTCAGAAAAAGTTGTATAAGGATGTGATGCTGGAGAACTATAGGAACTTGGTCTCTTTGGGTAAGAAAAGCCTTGCTGTCTTAAAGTCTTGCTATATACTATGCCAACTCAAGATTTTAACAATTATTCTTTGGCATAGAAGCAGAAAATAATACTTATCCTTTTGTGCGCATTGACAGATTACTTGTACTACTTGTTTCCAGGAAAAAGGTTTTTCTTAGTATCCTTGGAAATTGATTTCCTGATTTGTTGTTATCCTTGAGGATGTATCTTCCTCTCTCTGTTGGTTCAAATCCAAGATATTCTTTTTAATCTCAATATATGTTTCATCATGCACAGTATTCCCACCGTCCAAGCAGTCAAATGAACTATTTTTTCCTAAATCCTACTCAGTAATCCATTCTAACCATAATATAGAGTATCCTTCAGTGGTCCTTTGTGCTATCCTTGAGGTCTTCCTAGCATGCCTACTTGAGGGTTTTAACTGGCTTTGAATTCTTTTATTACGTTTTATAGATGCTTTGTTTAAAAAAAGTGTAATTTCTTCTCCCTTTGCCACCTAAAAAGAAAGGAAAAAAGCCTACTTTTCCCTCCAACCAGCCCATTAAGGCTCCCTTGGTTGGGGAAAAATCTCAGATGAAATGAGCTAACATAGTAAGAGTTGGAAGGAATTTTCATCTACCTATTCTATGATGGAACTCCAAGATGACTCCCTACCTCTTTTTCCTTTTCAAAAAACAGGATTTCCAGTTTCCAAACCAGATGTGATCTACCAGTTGGAAAGAAGGGAAGCATCTTGGATGCCAGAGGCAGATATTTCAGGAAGCAGCTGTCCAGGTGACTATAAAAACCAAGCAGTTGGGTCATTGCAAAATAGTGATCTGTTGGTCATTTTAGGTCAAAACTCTTGTAAAACGTTGAACAAAGTGATCTATCAAAGCTTCTTAGATCTATTAAGAGGATCTGAGCCTTTAAAACTTCATTTTTTACCTCAGGAACTTACTCTTTTTTTTTAATGTATCTCTTTACTGAAATGTACCTCCAGTCTCAAAGAAAGTTGTTGCATCTGTACAAGGCAGTTGTTTCTCTTCTGTTCATTGAAGATTATCTTATTTTAAGCAGGTATTCTCTGCCTCACTTGCATGAATTCATCCTCCCTATTAATTTTTAAAACATTAATATTTAGTTATTATTTAATCAACTTATCGATTTAATTATTTAATATTAATATTAAAATAAAACTTTAAGATATTAAGTATTGTGCTCTTTTTGCTTCTCATTTCTCCTGATATTTTATTTTGTTTTTGTGATTATGTTGCTTCGCTGCTGTTACTTTAAAAATATTTAATCCTAACCTGATTCTCATTTTTTCAATCTGTCATCCTGTTTTTCTTTATGCTTTGAAATCATATTATTTATAAAGGCACAATAATGTGTTCATATGACTTGATTAACCATTATACCCCATCATTGGACATATAGGTTTTCATTATTTTGCAGTTTCACAAAAAGGTATTGTGAACATTTTAGAGAGAGTTCTTTGCTTTCAGTAATACTTTGAGGGTGTAGACCTGATAACAGGACCATTGGGTCAAATAATATGAGTAGTTTTGTAGCTCTAAAATTACTATGTTACTTTTAAGAAAAATGGCAGCAGCAGTTTCATAAGTAGGTAATTCAGCATAACTGCCGAAAGTTACCATTTTAAAGAATATTTGGTAATCTAATGGCTGTTTATGGACACCTGTCACTTGATTTCATTTTACTTTTTTGATTACCACATTTTGAGTAATGTTTCACATCGATATTAATAATTTCTCTTGTCAGAAATGCTTCTATGTCTTACTCTTACAAGTTTTAATCAAGTCCTTACAAAGTAGATGTGTTGGATTTTTTGAGGAAATTTATGGCAACAGTTGTCACATTTTCCCCCTCATCTTTCTTGTTTATTCTCTTTACTTCATGTATTTATTTCTTCTCCTCACTCTAAGTTCCCTATTTCCTTTCTGTTCAATCTTTTTTTCCCTTCCTCTTTTAAGCTCATATGGTAAGACTATATTTGCAAGTTCTCAAAGTCATCTGTTTTTTTTCTCAATAGTTTTATTCCTTTCAGATGTCAACCACGTACAGCAGAATTAAGGGTTAATTCATCCTTCCTGGTAATTTCATCCTTAGTCAATTCGTTTACATGTGTTACCTTTGAATCTTCATACTTTCACATAAGATAAACTGATCCTTAGCGAAAGACTAGTGAGACTTGTCATCTGAGGTGAGAAGGCAAGAGAATAGTTCTGTTGCGGTTTCTTAGTGTGTTATTGGCAACACCATCTCAAAGAATTCAGGGGCAGCTAAATGGCACAGTGGATAGAGCACTGGCCATGGATTTGAACTCAGGAGGACCTGAGTTCAAATCTGGCCTCAAACACATAATACTTTCTAGCTGTGTGACTCTGGGCAAGTCACTTAATCACAGTTGCCTCACCAAAAAATTAATTAATTAAAAAAAGGGAAATAAAAATATCAAAGAATTCAGACTCAGACCACTTCTAATCCAAGTATTGGCATTTATTGAGGATTGATGCCCTCAGAAGTAGGCTGGTTTCCAAGAGGAACCAGGAACTTAGGAGAAAGCAAGATGGATTTTTAGAGGGTAACAATGCAATTACATAATAGAAATGATGAGTATTAAAAAGGCAGGATGGATTTGTTAGGGATTAGGTAATTCTGGGGTTCTGGCAGTCATACATCCTAGTTGTGCTGCCCTCTGTTTGGCTAGCTTTGTGGTGCTGTTTGGTCAAGATAGATAGTAAGGTACCATGGGCCTGTCTTGGGCTAAATGGATGATGTGATTGTGGTTGAGTATAAGAATACACCTGTTCAAATACATGAATTGGATTCAGAGGCAGTGGCTAGCTAGGGCCAGTGGCTGTATTGAGTCTGGGGGGCCTGTGGTGTGGTTAAAGCTAGATTAGGTGGTTAAATCATTGAGGCCTTTAAGGAAGTTAGAATATTGGGGCCGGAGGCAGCTTCATCAGTTCTAAAACCTTTGAGCAACTAAGAACTTTGGGAAAGGGGGAAAAAGGCAGGGTTAATTGGCTCTTTATTCTTCCTTTCAGGGAGCAGAGAATTTACTGGAGATAAACCTCCTGAATGTAATGAATGTGGGAAGGCCTTCAAGAGTAAGGCAGCGCTTACTGCTCATCAGAAAATTCATACTGAAGAGAAACCTTATGAATGCAGTGAATGTGGGAAGGTCTTCAGGATTAAGACAAAACGTTCACTGCATCAGAGAATTCATACTGGGGAAAAACTTATAAATGTAATGTATGTGGGAAGGCCTTCACTTGCAAGACAAATCTTATTCACCATCTGAGAATTCATACTGGAGAGAAACCTTACGAATGTATTGAATGTGGGAAAGCCTTCAGGATTAAAAACACCTTTTCCTACATCAGACAGTTCATACTGGAGAGAGACCATATGAATGTATTAAATGTGGGAAAGCCTTCAGGATTAAGCAACAACTTTCACTACATCAGACAGTTCATACTGGAGAGAAACCTTATGAATGTAGTGAATGTGGGAAAGCCTTCAGGATTAAGCAACAACTTTCACTGCATCAGAGAGTTCATACTGGAGAGAAACCTTATGAATGTAGTATATGTGGGAAGGCCTTCAGGAGTAAGTCAGGGCTTATTGTGCATCAGAGAATTCATACTGGGGAGAAACCTTATAAATGTAGTATATGTGGGAAGGCCTTCTGTAGTAAGCCAGGGCTTATTGTGCATCAGGCAGTTCATACTGGAGAGAAACCTTATGAATGTAGTGAATGTGGGAAGGCTTTCAGGAATAAGTCAAGGCTTACTGTGCATCAGACAGTTCATAGTGGAGAGAAACCTTATGAATGTAGTGAATGTGGGAAGTCCTTCCAGGGTAAGTCAGAGGTTACTGTG